GACAAATGGCCAACCAGTGAAGAGCAAATGATTTGTCATGATGGAGAGCTAATAAGATACAAACCAACGTTGGCCCAAAAATGATGTTTGCCTAATATTGAAAGAATAAGTGGCCCAACAATGGCTCAATAATATTCGTTCGTTGGTCCAGCAGTAAGCCAACAAGTTGGTCTGATTAAGGGCCGATGAGCAAATCACCGTTGGCCCAACATTAATTGCTTACAATGGCCCAAATGTACAAAAATGACGTTTGCCCAACATTGAAAAAATACATTGGCCCGACAGTGGCCCAATATTAACTGTTACATTGGCCCAACAATAAGCCAACAAGTTGGTTTGATTAAGGGCCGATGAGCAAATTACCGTTGGCCCAACATTAACTGATTACAATGGCCCAATTGTACAAAAATGACGTTTGCCCAATATTGAAATAATACATTGGCCCAACAGTGGCCCAATATTAACTGTTACATTGGCCCAACAATAAGCCAACACGTCGGTTTGATTAAGGGCCGATGAGCAAATTACCGATGGCCCAATGTTGAATACAAACGGTGGCCCAACATAAGGAGCATTGTTGGCCCAACAAAGGTCCAATAACAATCTGCTATCTGGGCCAGTGGTTCTTGAGAAGAAGATTTTTAAAGATTATTATTTATTATTATTAAAATTTGTTAAAGCGCTCAATTTTACATATAGTATCCAATTATTGGCGCTATACATACAATACAAATAATAAAAAACAATGCATATGTTAAAATATCAAATAAAGTCTAAATGATCACTGGCTGTTTAAATAAAATATACTAGTGTTCACAATTAAATGTTATTTAAAAGCACATGTGTAGTAGAACGCCTTGAGATGTCGTTTAAAAATACAGAAATCAGTTAACATTCGAACGTTTGTTGGCAATTTGTTGGCAACTCATTCCAAATCGAAGGTCCAGCTACCGCGAAAGACCTAGACGCAAAAGTTTTGCGTCTTACGGACGGGGCGTTCAATGTTTTCGCTGCAGGATTTACGGATCGAATGCCATATGATGATGTTCGTAAACTGAGCATTTCTTTAAGATATTGTGGGCTGTCACTGTCGTTAATGCACTTGAAGACAATGCATGCAAGTTTGAATTTAATGCGGTAGTGTACCGGTAGCCAGTGTAGTCGTTTGAGTGCTTCAGTAGAACTATCCGTAGACCTCAGCTTCAACACAAGCTTTGCAGCACGATTTTGCAACAACTGTAGTCTTTTAATGGTACACTCTGGCAATCCGTACAAGACACTATTTGCATAATCTAAATGGCTAGTGACAAGGGACTGTACAATTTGTTTACACGAATCATTACTAAGATATTGGCGAATTTGTTTAATCAAGTACAAATTCAATGAAATTGTTTTGCATTTTTCACTGACAAATTTTTTGAAAGTTAAAACATCCAAGATATTTGATACAAGGAGATGGATTAACAACCGTATCCACTACATTAAGGGAAATGGAAGATGATAGAGATAACATCTGTTGACTGCCAAATAGTACAAATTCGGTTTTACTAGGGTTAAGTTTTAGTTTGTTCAGATTCATCCAGTCATTGATGGTAACCAATACTTTTTCTAAATTTGTTGTTACACGTTTCTCATCAGCGAAAATCTTCGGATTAAAACTGTCGTATGCAGAGTGGTCATCTGCGTAACCTAATAATGACACACCCGAATCTTTGATGTAATGTTGTAGCGTACTCGCGTACACGGTATATAACACAGGTCCGCATATGCTGCCTTGCGGTACCGAGAAGTCCACACATCTAGGCTGTGATTTAGACGCGTTGATGTGCATTTCGGCTTTCCTGAACGAAAGGTATGATTGAAACCAATGAAGAGCCACCTCAGATACTCCGAAAGTAGTTTCTAACACGTTGCTAAGTATGGCATGGTCGACTGTGTCGAATGCAGCAGAGAGATCCAATGCGACTAAGGCATTTTTTTCCATTTTCCACAGAATGTCTGATGACAGTTTCAGGAGAGCTTTGTTTCAGGAAAGATTTGTTCTATATATTTCTATGTAAATCTTGGATTCCCTATTGTGGCCCTGCCCTACCCCCGGGGGTCATAATTTTTATAATTTAATATCTACACTACCCAAGGATGCTTCCACATAAGTTTCAGCTTTCCTGACCCAGTGGTTCTTGAGAAGAAGATTTTTAAAGATTTGTTCTATATATTACTATGTAAAACTTGGATTCCCTATTGTGGCCCCGCCCTACCCCCGGGGGTCATGATTTTAACTATTTAATATCTACACTACCCAAGGATGCTTCAAAATAAGTTTCAGCTTTCCTGGCCTAGTGGTTCTTGAGAAGAAGATTTTTAAAGATTTGTTCTATATATTTCTATGTAAAACTTGGATTCCCTATTGTGGCCCAGCCCATCCTCCGGGGGTCATAATTTTTACAATTTAATATATACACTACCAAAGGATGCTTCCACATAAGTTTCAGCTTTCCTGGCCCAGTGGTTCTTGAGAAGAAGATTTTTAAAGATTTGTTCTATATATTACTATGTAAAACTTGGATTCCCTATTGTGGCCCCGCCCTACCCCCAGGGGTCATGATTTTAACTATTTAATATCTACACTACCCAAGGATGCTTCCACATAAGTTTCAGCTTTCCTGGCCTAGTGGTTCTTGAGAAGAAGATTTTTAAAGATTTGTTCTATATATTTCTATGTAAAACGTGGATTCCCTATTGTGGCCCAGCCCTACCTCCGGGGGTCATAATTTTAACAATTTAATATCAACACTACACAAGGATGCTTCCACATAAGTTTCAGCTTTCCTGGCCCAGTGGTTCTTGAGAAGAAGATTTTTTAATGACCCCACCCTATTTTTGTCATTTCTTGATTATCTCCCCTTGTAAGGAGACTTGGCCCTTCATTTTAACAATTTAAACTCCCCTCCCCTTTACCCAAGGATGCTTTGTACCAAGTTTGGATAAAATTGGCCCATTGGTTCTTGAGAAGAAGTTGAAAATGTGAAAAGTTTACAGACGGACGGACGGAAGACGGACAAAATGTGATCAGAAAAACTCACCTGAGGCGAACGCTAAAGTGAGCTTTTCTGATCACCCGGCGTCCATCCGTCTAGCTGTCTGCCCGTCTGTTTGTAAACTTTTCACATTTTCAACTTCTTTTCAAGAACCACTCATAGGCACTCCCAATCTTAATTGTTAAAAAAATATATCTCGACTATACTATAAACAAAACTTTTTTGGTTTATAGTATAGTAGAGATATATTTTTTTTAACAATTAAGATGGGGAGTGCCTATGGAACCACTGGGTCAGTTTTAACCAAACTTGGTACAAAGCATCCTTGGGAAAATGGGATGTTAAATTGTAAAACTGGAGGGACAATCCCCTTACAAGGAGAGATAATCAAGATAATGGGATAATAAAACTATATTTAACGGTTGTTAACTATAGTTTACAAATGATAATCTAAGTTTATCTGTCTGTAATAAGCGTTAACAATAGATTTTGTTGATAAAAATAGATTCACGTTTGTAAACTACAGTTTACAATCGTAAACTATAGTTAAGAGTTGTTAATCATAGTTTCACAAATCGTGAAACTATATTTATCAGATCGTTAACTATAGTTAGCGGTTTGTAAACTATAGTTTACAAATCGTGAAACTGTATTTATCAGATAATCTATGTTTTGCAATCGCAAATGATTGTTTTCCGTGTTAAGTATAGTTTACGGTTGTGAAACAGATTATCGCGTTAACTATGGTTTACAGATGTAAAATATAGATTAATCTTGTTAACTATAGTTTACAGTCCGTAAACTATAGTTTACTGTGAAACTATGTTTAGCTCATTTTTGTGAATTTGGCATGCCATAGTTTACGGTTTGTAAACTATAGTTTACAGTCGATAAACCTAGTTTATCAATTGTGAAACTAGGTTTAGCTCATTTTTGTGAATTTGGCGTGCCATACCTATGCGACAAGTCTGTTTGATTTACACAAGCCCATAAAAATAAACTAGATAATATATTGACGCAGAGCATAAAATAGACTACAAACGCCCCAATATGTTTAACCGAATGCCAAAAAACGAAAGAAAAAACCTAATACAATTAATTCCCCATCTGCACTTTCTGACACCACCGAACAATAAGCCTATGGGTCACAATGCTCACCTGAATTAGTAGGGCCTCTTTTCTTCTTCAGCAGCTTTCCTTTTTTAAATCTTTGTAAAACTCATAAATTGTCACCCTACCCTAATATATTCCAAGGGGATATAAATTGAACATACTTGAATCTAACATGCTTTTGAATGTTTCCACATATATTTACATTTCCAATGTCTTTGTCCTAGATAAAATTTCAAACTGTAAATGTACTTTATTTCCCAAACAGAAGCAGGGCTTGGAGCACGTGGATTGGCGGAATCAAAGCATGTAAATATAAGGAATAACTGTCAGATTTTTCAATTTCATGACGATGATCAATCGATTGGCTTGCGTGATAATTTTATGTATAAACGCCTTCGGCATTTATGAAAATTATCATGCAACCCAATCGATTGATCACATCATGAAATCGAAAAATAAGACAGTTTTTCCTGAAATAAATATTATTGGATGCAATCATGTAGTATTGTATCTTACTGTGGATAATGTCAAAATGTTTTTGGTTTTCAAACAAGAGTAAGCAATTCAACATGTAATTAAATTGAAAAATAAATTGACAGTAGCCTATTCAAACATTTGTAAAATGATAAGATTTATTCTCTTTCATCTTTCCCAAAACATTTTCTTAAAATACGAAAGCTTTTTGTTTTTAGAGCCACAGATACATGTAGGATATAGACAGACAGTGCCATACTATAATACAATGTACAGCTAACTAAGGATTATAAATTACAACTTTCAGCTAACAAGATATTTCATTCAAATGCCAAGTACGAGTAAACATTCATTCAACAAGAATTTTCCACAAGAGCTGTTTTGTTCATTTTATTTTGATACATAAATCAAAAAATTGCTGTAATGAATTTTATATAAAAACAAGAAAAGTTCAACCATTCATGTCCCTGACAATAATCACATTAAACTGTGTTAATCTTGAATCTTTAGAATACTTTTCTTCTCTAAATCTTCCATCTCTTTCAGTACATATGCCACATTATATCGCAGTTGATGAAACTGTGAAACAGGGACCTGTAAAATATAATAAGGAAGCAAATGTTAAATCTCTTGTAGCTACAAATAAACTTATGAAATTAATCCATCAATTTACCCTAAATTTATAGTAGCAAAGAAACAAAAGTACAGAGAGTTAAAGTCAGGTCAAATCTAATGAATGGTTTCTAGAATGAAGCCAAATGTATGGAATGTTGCCTTCACCTTGATCATAGATGATAATATGACATGTCATCTTTCTACAGTCAGGTTCTACGCAGACAGATTTTACTTAAAGGATGACACAGAAAAAAAACCCATTCCTATTTAAGGCATACAAAAAACACTAAAAGCAATTTAAAAATTCTTTATACAAGTGTTGAATGTAAAGATGATGGCAAGCTCAAAATGCTATATACCGTATACATAAAATTAATAATTTTGTAAACTGAAGCTGTGTTATGTAATATTGATGAATATTTTTATCGTAACATAAAATCAAAGTGAAAGAATATATAAATGAGGTTGGTTCCTGAAAGTCTGAATCTTTTTTTTTGTCAAGTATAATACATCTCCAACGGTTTTTCCTCCAAATAAAGCATGGAACAAAATAAACAATAAATCTATTTAAAAAAGACACTTTAAAATTGTGACTCAGAAAAAGTTTTCAATTATTTTGCATAATCAATGATTTGACCTTTATGCACTCGCAAAATGTGATTTTTCTGACATTCTATTGAATGTAAGAATATCCTTCCCTTGATGGTATCTATAGATTGATGTGTAAAACGTAGATCACACAAAGAAATAGACAGAAATACACATGTATACGTAATGTATAATGAAGTCTGTATCAACATTGGTCGTTTTGTAAGAGTGTGAGGCATTATGTAAAATGCTTATACAATGATTATAGTTATGTAAATAAAAAAATACGCTTTTGCCATCCTGAGCCACTATGCATTAATTAATGGTTAATGAGATGTTGCTGCATGATAAAGCTACCCTAATAAAATGGCATATCATGATAAAATAGAAATCAATAGCTATTATTATTGTTGCAAATGTTCTTTTATAACATGTGATATATGGTGCCTTCAGGTTTCTTTATAGTACAATACTGCAATATGAAATAACTTTAATATTAAAACTGCACCTTTTAAAGAATATATATATAATATATTATATATTAAAGTTGAATTATAAAGTTTGTGATGGTAGATCATATTTCAGGAAGTGAGAGCATGCAGAAATATCGATTGAAATAAGGAATACATGGTTTATAATAGATGATCCAAAAACATTATTCATAGAAAACTTGATTGTAAAATCAATGAATTAATTTACTTGTAATTTTCATATTTTAGAAAAAGGTCGTTTATTTTTGCATCAATATTTTTATATAGTAATATCAGTTTATGATCCAAAAACATTATTCATAGAAAACTTGATTGTAAAATCAATGAATTAATTTTTCATATTTTAGAAAAAGGTCGTTTATTTTTGTATCAATATTTTTATATATTAGTAATATCAGTTTAATATCGAGAATACCTTTGGATGTACAATTATTATGTCCTACTATAACTGCTCTTATGCAAACAAAGCCAAGGAAGGGACAAATATCTTTTTTACTAAATGAAATCTTTCATAATCTCAAATTATGTAAAAAAAGAAAAAAATCATACTATTAAACTCTTTTATTATAAGACAGCATAGTTATCAGTAAATATCTGGTATTACAGAAATCTCCATCTTGGTTTTGTAACAGCACGATCAATGTTTCATAATTCAAGTATTTGTCAAATCGTGTAATAAAATTTGAAAAACAATTTACTGTACGTACATGGATTGAATTAAACATGAACTTCATATCTGAACATTTCAAGTACATATAACTGTTAATTTAAAGTCTTGCATTGTTTGAACTAGCAGCAATCTTTGACCTGTACAAGAGCTAGGCCATGTTTTTTATACTGCCACGTCATTAAAGGTGTAATGGGTTCAAATGTTATAAAACCAACAAAAATTTTAGATTTAAATATATTCATAACCAAATACATTTTTTTGTTTTTCTTAGCAGATAATCCATAAAAATTTGTACCTTGAATTCTGCCAATATATAATGTCCTCCTACAGACAATAACTGATATTTCCTGCTAACTTACTCAGAATGAGACTGTTCATCAAATGCTTCAAAACATTATACAACATCCATTCTTGATAACAGTAAACTTAACCTTTTTATTCAAATTTACATTTATTTTATGAGGAGATGTATGTAACAATGTTTTATCTTTCCTAGCAAAGTGCTTTAAATATTGTCATTTCCTATGCTATTAGTCTGGAATACATTTGATTATGTATTTCAAAGTTTCATATCCTTTGGGGATGCATGCAGTTTCCTCGTAAAAGTGTTCTAACTACCTGGTTGATTTAGGACAGTAAAGACAGATATACATGTCAGATTTCAGTTAATCAAGGCAGATTACTATCACATGATTTCTCCTTAAGTCAAAAGCTGGCACCCTTACACAACAGACTTGGTAGCATTTTTTTAATTGGCTGTGTTACTATAGCTCTAATAATTTTAGCTGCATCTTAAGGTCTATTGAATTGAATAAACAATTAAATTGAAAGTAATTGTTACACAGACACATCCATTTCTTTAGAACTGAGAGAGCATTTATGATCATTGCAATGTTTAGACACCCCACTCTCTGAGGCTAAAATGCAAGTTATGCTGAAAGGGAATTTATAATTCTATTATACCATCGTTCTTGTTTTTCTGACTGTAAACCAAAATCTCAATACATGAGTCTACTCTGCTCTGTTTTTTGCCAAATATAACATGAACCTTTCAGTTGTTGTAAAAGAGCATTTATTTGTATGCCAAACAAAAATTACCAAATAAGGACAAAAATAAGAAATGACCATATTTAAACATATAAATACAAATATTTCAATATATATTCTAATGTTTCAATATATGTAAACTGCAAATATGATTGGCTGTTCATAGACTTCATAGATATTTTCATGTTCTTTTCAATTGTATCTGAATCATAAATGTCCATTAAATGTTTACTATTTTAATAAATATCAAATCATTCTCACAACTTTTCAAATACCAGTTTACGTGAAACTAATGAAAGACTTTATTTACCAAGTAAATTTGAGTCATTCTCATTCAAAATAATGTTAATCATCTCGTTAACAGATTCTGACTGAAAGCTTTTCTAACTAAAGATATCGCAAGAGCTTTTTGTTATGAACATCCTGTGTTGTGCGATATCTGCAGCATGTTACACCTGAACTCACAGAGGGTGTGGACTTTTATAACAATATGATAGAAGAAAATTAAATAGTAAGAATTATATAATATCTTATGATAAATATTATTGTCAAAATATTACATAGAGACCCACTCCTAATCTTATAACCCATGTAGGATAATGCAAATAATAATGTGATTGACACATTATACAATATAGCCCCCTGAGGTGGTTGATCCTTATGCCTAGGTCACATTTAAGCCGATGGTCGGGCGACTAAATTTTTCTGGTCTTGTCGGCTGAAAGAACATGATCGGCCGATACAGTATCGGGCGACACGGAGCAGTCACATTAATTCCTAGGGAAACCGATGACTTGGACAAATAGCACAAAAAATGTTTTTTCTTTAAAATTCAGCAATATTTTTTCCTAGATCTATATTCCGATAGGTGACGTGAGTAATGTTTGCAAAGCAAAGTTGAAAATGTGTGCAAAATTTTGTGTGAAATTGCATAAAAATGACAAATGGTGCATATCTAAGCAGCAAATAATACTTTAGATTTCTTTATATCTTACGGATTAATTATTCATGTTATTTCCGTTCAAAAAATTTATATCAATCCATGCCTCAAATTTTGTTTGTGTTATGTATCCTTACTAGGTTAAATATTCACAAGTCGGCCAATCGTCGTCCGATCACCGAGCTCTGAGCTACAGTTTGATTTTAAGCGTCGGCCGAAATTTTAAACACCCTTATTGAACAACGACGGACAACCGACTTTATAAACTGACCGCCGATGGTCGGACGATGATCGAAGGTTGGTCGACGGATAACTTCAATTGAAGGAATCGGCCACCGACGCATAAAAAATTATAACTTGGTCCGATGGACACAAAATTGGTCGGCCGACAAAAAAAGAGGTCAAAATCGGCCAAGACAACGGCCGATGAACTGACGACTGTCACCCGAAGAATCCCACTTTTGCTTCAAAACCCGTCGGCCGTTGGTCGTTTTTGGAAATGTGACTGGGGTTTTACTCATTCCATAAGATACATGTATATATCTTCTTTTAATACACAGAAATTAAAATTATTTGAAGCATATCAACTTCAATATGAATTAAGGTCAATACCCCCAGTATGTTTTTCAGCGAAGTTGATATACATGTTCCTATAGATTGACATTAGCAAGGGCTATTATACTTGTTTTTGTCTCCCACATTCATTGAAAGTTTCCTTTCCACAGGATATCTCGAGAAGCTTTTGAGCATTTGCAATGAAATTTTACACAACAACTTATCTATTTATTCTGAGGTCAAAATGTCAAAATGTCAAAAGTCAAGGTAATGAATTCATACATTATGTGTGTGTGTAAAACTTTTATTTCCGGGCAATATTTTAAGAAGCTTTTGAGTAATTTTGAAATCAATCTTTTTCCAGTAACTCCCTATGGCCCCACCCACCCTTCTTAAAGTGCCCCTCCCCACCCCCCAGATCTGCACATGCTCCTGAGGTCCTGATACCCCATGGAAACCAGTAACGCCAACTGATGCATGAGCAAAGGTTGACACTGGCTTTTTGAGGGGTGTCAGTTTTAACTGTTACCCTAAAATAAGCACAAATTAATTAAATATATAAGTGGAAATTTTAGCAAGACGAAATTTTACTGATTTATCCTCCTGAATTTTTTTTATATTTATGGGGAGAAGTACATTGTGTATTTATAACAATTTTATAATGTCAAGAAAGATAGCCTAAGATAACAACTGCTATGGAATGTGT